TGAAGATGTATTCGTTCAGCTATTCGCGGACGGACTGCGAGTATTAAAACGAATGCTATCAGAACTTTATGAAAGGCACAAGAAAAAACTAATTTTCACTATTTTTCAATGGTGTCTAAAATGTTCATTTGAGTTGAAAAGTGAGAATTCTATCCTCTGACGAATAACTAGAAAAAATTGAAGTTTTTTTTTGCTTTGTTTCCTCATACCACTGTTATATGTGTAATTTAGAATTACAAGCATCAAGAGTTACCCCTGAAAACAAGTTGATATTGCCAGTCCATATTAGTAATAATCATTAGCAATATTCATTAAGGGTAATTGACTGGATTCCCGAAGAAGGCAAGCGGGCCAAGGGAAGACAGGAAGTTAGGTGAGCGGATGAGATTAGGAAGTTTGCGGGCATAAAGTGGCAGCAGCAGGCACAAGACCAAGTTGACTGGAGAAACATGGGAGAGGCCTTTGTCCTGCAGTGTAAGTAGTGAGGCTGATGATGATGATGACGTGTGAAGTTTAATATTATTACCAAAGTAACGATACATAAAATGAAGGAAACGTTTTACAGACTAGGGTCTCATAGCCTGAAGACTGTAGGGTGACTCACGATAAAAATGCATGAAAAAATGCAATGATGAATGGCAAAACGAAATAGTATAAACGAAACAATGTACATAACAGGGTATATAGCAAAACAACGAAACGAATAAAACATTGTAATTGATACAACTACAACAATACAAACGCTGTATCACAAATCAGGGAGAACTACATATGTAAATAGGTTTATTGGGGAATAATTTATGATCTTAGTAGATATATTTCAAAGTATTTTTGAATGTGTATAGGTCAGCTATATGCATAGGTCAGTATAGGTCTTCGTATATAGTATAGGTCAGTATAGGTATAGGTAGTTAGATGTGTATAGGTCAGTACAGGTCAGTGGGAGAATAGAGTTCCGTAACGAAATGGCTATGAATGACAATCATTTTATGCCGTAATTAGTTCAAACTCCGGGTAGCAGTAAACTTCCTTCTACTGCGAAGCGATTGCGGTTAGTATTTTTCAGTAAGTCAAAGTTGATGAGATGCTAAGGTAGCCAACGGTTAATTATAATAAAACAAACAAGTACAATGAAATTCAAAGCATTTACTAATACACAGAATATTATATTGTTTAAGCAATGAAATAGCGTTAGAACGACGAGGGCTGAAAGTGATAATGCGGATGGCTTGATTTTCTGTGTTGTATAGATGAGATGTAAGAATGATAGGTATTGGTCCAGATATTCATGCCATAGTTAAAATGTCTATAGAAGACTAAGAAGTAGAGTGATAAGAATGCATAGGTAGAGAAGTATGAACAAGCTTTAATCAATGCGAGAATACCAAAAGCAGTTTTTTCTTTAAGTCTAACAAGTGTAGAACAAAATTAGGGGTTATGTCTAAACGTACACCAAGAAAGGAAACAGAATTGCAAGCATAGATAGTATTAGGACCCAATGTTACAGCAGCAGAAGATAACAAATGCTTTTGAGATGATCTGAAAACCATAAACTGAGTTTTAGAGGGGTTTATATTTAGGTCATTTTTGTTACACAATAAAGCCACATCATTCAGTACACAATTTAGTTTGAATATTAGAGATGAAACTGTTTTGGCTTTACACGATACTGTGGTGTTGTCAGCGTACAACACACAGTGTGCAGACCATATGACACAAGGAGATAATTTATATAAATAACAAACAGGAGGGGGCAAGAATAATCCCTTGCGGAACACCTTGATTAGTAATCTTAGTGTTGGAGTAAGTGCGACTAGTAAAGACAACATTTCGTTAGTTAGACAAATAACTTTCCAGAAAGTGTAAAGGTGTCCGGTGATACCATATGATTCTAAATTATTGAAGAGAATGGAGTGAGTGAGCGTGTGGAATGCTTTTGTCAAGTCTAAAGATACTGAACCCGAAAAGTTACCGCTGTCGATGGAATGTTTGATGAAGTCAAAGAAGGCAGAGCATGGTTAGTGGAGCTTCCATGACGAAGGCTAAACTGGGAAGGCTTTATAACATTACACTTCGTAAGTTAAGCGTTAGGATGCTAACAAACATTTATATTTGCCTAATAACGGAAGGATAGATATAGGTCTATAATTTTAATGGCAGCTTTATCACCTTTCTTAAAAGTTGGTATGACCTTCGCATGCTTTAATGAGCCAGAAAACAAGCCTTTAGAGATGATGAGGTCAATTACATGAGTTAAGGGCAGAGAAAAGATGCGAGCAATCAGCTTTAAATGACACGCACAAATATCATACAAACCAGGAGTAGTAATTGCAAGATTTGGAATAGCTGATACTATTTCGTCAGCTGAAGAGGGAAGAGAGAAAAATGAGTGAACTAAGCGTGGTAAACTAGGTGAACAAATATTTATAGGACAGTTCGATGACAGACAGAAATCCAAAGAAAACGCATTAGCAATGTCGTCAAAATAACAATAAGTAGTGTTATGATCAGTGATTTTCGTTATGGGCCCTGTCGATTGCAGGTAAATTTAAGAATTCATTAAAGAGTTTCCGTTGTTTTTTGGGATTATTTTTATTCTTCCAAAATTCTTTATTTTAATAAAGTTTTTTGGCACGTTTTAATGAAGAGTTAAGGAAGTTACAATAACTTCTATAGATTAGTGTCAAGGTGTTAATAAAGAATTGCCTGTTCACGTTCCTATAGAGATTATTCTTTTTCCTCAGAATCATTAATAAGACAGATATCAACCAAGGGCTTTCAGGCTTTTGGTATTTATTGTTATGAGCAAAGATATAAGTAATGGCAGAAGTAGCTTCCGAGAATAACGAAGAAAATACATCAACTGCTGATTAGGGATCTGTTTGTGAGCTAACTTTGGACCAGTCATATTTTGAAATAGCATCGATGAAACTTACTTTGTCAAAGCGTGTGGTAGTAAAGACTGTGTTGATTCGAACTATAGGGCAATCAAATGTGATGAAGATGGAATAAGGATAAGTAATGTCGACATCTACTACTCCGAATACTTTAGGACTGAAGTTAGAAAAAAAACGTGATCTAAAAGAGTGTTAGAGCCACGTGTGTTGGATCTAGTGTGCGAAATAATGAGGCCCATTAACCCATATCCTAGAAGGCAATCATTATAAGCAATGGTATCATTCGAATGAGCATCTAGTATGTTAATGTTGATATCGCTTCCCAACACTATGTTTTTGTTCTCTAGGGATAGATTATTCAGGATGGTCTCGATAGCCGATAAGAACCCAGAGAGTGAAGAAGAAGGTGAGCGACAGGTATAACCAAGTACTAAATTTTTTTGATTCTGTATGAAATGAGGCTGCTCAATTTCTATCAAAATTTATTTGAAATATGGAATGGCAATAAAAAATCTAACCTGCGACTCTAACTATTGTCAGAAGAAATGAAAATCGCTGAGCCACCAGTGGGCGTGAGACACACGGTGACAATAGTCAAATTTGTACGACGTAAAGCCATACATAATCAGCATCGACATCGGAAAGCCAGGTTTCCAATATACATAAGAATAAAAAAGGGTGTCTCGTAGAATGAATGAAATACCTAATGTTATCGTGATTCCTTCGCAAGCTAAGTGCACAGAAATGAACCAGAGAGCGATGTTCCTCAGAGAGTAATGAAATAAATTCGTCAGCAGAAAAGCACATGATTGACAGATACTTGTCAAGGACAGAAACCGAGAGGAAAAATAAATATAAAAAAGGTCTTAAATGGATGACACACAACGTAGACGAAAACCTGAAGGTTGTTCTCAGACTTTATATTGAACAGTTTGCTACTAGTTTGACGATTCTTATTCTCGCAGTTGTCTGTCCATAAGAACTGCCAGCTCCTTTCCTTTTTCAGAGCTAGTGCATTTGAAAACAAACGGTTGTTCTCGAAAGTAAGGTGATCATTTGAAACACTGCAGTGCCAGTGGAACCAGAAAAGCCAATTTGGCCAGTACGCAGACGGCCTTTGCGCGCCCTAAGCACAAACTCACCCTTCTTGTCGCGACAACAAAAGCGAGTAATAATGTTCTTCTCTTTGGACTTTGTGGCCACACGATGGACAACGTCCAAGTCAGAGGGAGAAGCAGGGCAGCCGATATGGCATTGCCAAACGTTTTCACGATTGCAAGGCAATTTTGATGACAACGATGATGATGATGACTATGATGACGATTAGTAGTATTTTACAGCTGCATTTGTAAAACTAGGGACCTCACAAAGGAAACTGGTAACTGTGCTTGGTTCATGATTCACACTAAAAAAGTGTGCGGACCTGTTTTCGGACAGTTGTGCTTTGCCACGAATATGAATATTGTGCTTTGCCACCTATAAGAAGAGAGACGGGGGACCCTCCTGCTGGGTCAGAGTCGGCGTGCTCTATGTGGATCCTCTGACCTTCTTAGGAAGAGCGAAAGACTGTCTTGCAAAGGATCACATTACCTCTTCTCAGAAATTAGGTGACTCCTGCTGGCGACGCTTCTACGTGGGTCAAGTGACCCCACGGCTATTTTGAACTGCTCAATTGACCCATGCCCTACTTTTGTGCGACTACTGGAGGAAATAGTGAAGTATTCATTCAAAGCAACTCTAACAATATTTGCCGTTGTGGTCAGTAACCACAAAGAAAAGTTGTTAATTTTTTGCATTATTTCAATAAAACTTGTTAAAACAACGATGTTTAATGAAGAGTAAAACAAGGAGTGCGAATATATGGTATATTAATCACAATGAGGGGGAGGAGGTATTTCTCAGTTACATGCTTGTAAGAGCATAGCAACCAAAATTCGCTGTGATGTGCAAAATGTCAAGACGTTTGGAACACGTTTAAAAAGCGCAACACATGAGAGTACCAGCGCTCGAATGACATCACGCGGGCACCCCGACCACATTGATATGAGTTGATCAAGTATGATTGAACTGCCGAAAATTTCTCCCACAGTCACGTATACTTACTTTATGCTGTTATGCTGTTATAACGCCAAAGATGATCGCAGTTGTTAGCAAATCACCAAAACAACAAACATAAACAAGGAAAAACAGCCCACGGTGGCAGCCGCAACAACGCGCGCCGTCAATATAGGTCTTGAGCTTTTGCCGGTCTCGGCGAGGCATGTTCTGGACATTTTAAAAGACTACCACACACGTGCTGGCAACTTCGCACTGTATCTGCACCTCAAACTACCGTCTTTATACCAACAAAAGTAATTATATACAGTGCGCCGCTGTAGCAAGAATTTTTTTGTCATGTTTACACCAACAGAAGCACGCTTCACAGACGAGAATTGACGGAAACGTTATTACGATGTAGCCTAAAGTGCATCTCAAAGCGATATCAAGCACTTTTACCAGTGCAGACACAATGTCCTATCGCATAGTCATCATCCTTGATAAGTGATTGCCTTATTAATTCTATGAGTGATGCATTCGTTTACACAACAACGTGCATAGCGGTGTTGACTCGCTACGGGAAAGCTTTAACTCGACATCTGCAAGAGCCCAGTGGAGGCATACTACTGTTGGAAATAGCTCGCAGCCTACTTCCACAGAGCCACTGCAGACGCCCATCTAGCGCTGTCTAATTGGTACCTACGGAAACAGTACACTCACCATCAGCAGGCGCACGTTGTCCGTGTCCGCAGCGCCATAAATATCCCTTACTCCAAGCGTCACTTCTAGCGTGGAGCCTGGCATGACCGCTTCCGATGATGCGCATCTTCGCTTCCCCTGAAAGCTACGGGAAACGCGACCACCACTGCCAACGCAACGCATTTAAAAGATGGAAAACCGAGAGAAATAGACAGAGGGTCACGGAGGAAGAAAATGTAAGAAGAGGGCATGCCCAGCCGGCGCAGGGCGTAAAAAATGTGGCGGACATTACGTCACGCGTGGCCATATTCACTGGGCACAATGGCGGTGTTATGTTATTATTGATGTAGTGCGGTGTGGCACCGTTCAGGCGGTCCAGCGGCGGTGTGGCCTCGCACATAACCGTGGCGTACTGCAGGAGTTCGACAGCATCCACTCTTTGTGCCGCATTGTTAGCTACGCGATTTGTCTTCCGTGGTGGTTGTAACCAGGTGTCTGAACTAGAAACCACGGAACGAGCGCGCGTATACGTACTCCGATTTTGCAGCGTCCGTCAAAAGTATGCTGAAAAGCCATCATAGAAGATAACGTCCGTGCTCAAGAATTCGTTCAATGAATGCCTTGCAGGTTAGTGACAGTTATGTCGTGTTGCTTCATATAATAACGAACGATGCATTTGTGGTCCACAGGCCCTTATCAAGACTGTGATCGAATCTTGCTTTTCATGTTCCTGTTTGGCGCTGAGCTGTGTTCCAGATAAGGAATACAGAAACAAACGCCTTCTCTTTATTTTCCTCTATTGACTAGCCACTTATCCCGGAGACATCTACCCTCGCATTTGGCTGGCTTTCCCTGCCGTCCTTGGCAGCTGTGTCGTCGACCACTGATCTCCACTAGGTGCTGGATGGCGCTTCGAGCTCTCCGGCGTGCGGCCGCCGGAAGTTCGAGCGCTCGTCCCGGAAGTCGGACGAATGGCCGCCGTTCCAGCATAGCGCGTGCTACGTATGGGCTGGTTTCGCGCGCATTCCGCTAAAAATGCCTGCTTGTTGCGCCGTCAACTGCACCAGCAGACCAGAGAAGTCGTCTGGGAAGACGTTCCACTTGTAAGTATTACAATATTCTGTGCGACGTGCGTGATACGCAGCGAAACGCAAACGTCATATCAGTGTCGTTGTTAAGCTGTGGCTCTTGTTACGCAGGTTCCCACGCTCTAAGCCGGATTTATACCGGCGTTGGGTGGTAAACTTAAGAAGGGACAAATGGACTCCATCCCCAGGTAGCAGACTCTGCAGTGACCACTTTACTGACAACTGTTTTGACAGAACGGACGCACGAACTCGGCTACAGCCTGACGCCGTGCCCACCTTGTTTTCTTTCCCGAAGCACCTGGAAAAGCTATAGTATGACATCTCGGCATTTTGGTATAGCGGCCCGGAAAAAAAAAGCATACTGTTCGGCCATCGCAGTTCGCTCGTTTAGCGTTCGTATAACTACCCCTACAGTTGATGCTACGTTTATTAGACACTGAAATCGCCTGAATGGGCGCTACCTTCTTTCGTAGTTCATCTGCTGAGTCCCTTTAAAAATTACGCCCTACAAATTAGCTCGCAGCACAATAAAATCTACATGTAGCTGTGAGAAGCTGTGGTTGAGGAATAGTTTGGCAGACTTACTCTCAAAACCATGTACTGTAAGCAATGAAACGGAATTGGAAAATCATGTCCTTTACGTTACAAAGCGCGAGGTCTTGAATTTTAAGTGCCCAATTTTTTCTTTCAATTTCTGAAATGCTCCTATCTGCGATATATATCTCAGTGGTGCTATGATAGCTGCCTAAGATGCTAGTGGTATAATTCAGAAACTGCTAGACTGCTATAATATGCTTGACGCCAGCATATTTTTTTACTTACAGCATTTTGCACTCGCAGTAATAAATAAGCATAACTGTGAATGAAACACGGCTGTTTCAGAGGACTGCTGAGAGAAAGCCACCTAAGCAGAGAACTGCCATTGTGGATGTGACCCCAGTGGAACAGCCAAACGACAACACTCCAACCACGGTGCAAGAGAACTCAGCCCTTGCAAGTTGCCTTTTTTGTACTACGCTGCCCGAGTGCAGCTACTTGGTCCGTCCTCGGTTGAATGTAACTAGTCCGATGTTAGTCAGGCCACTTTCTTGCAATCTCGTGGTAACCAACACGATAACTTTGTATACATTATGCACACCAGGATAGCATCCAATTTGAATCAAGTTAGTAGTCCTGGTATGTTCTGTAGTCATAGCAGAACATTGGTTTTATTCATGGCTGCAGCACCAGTTTTTCTAATCCAGGGAAAATATTGAAATTCCTGTCTGATGTGGCATTTCTCGAGTGCACCGGTAAATGAAGGGGACAAAGTTGATTTCTAAACTCCCCTGTGCACCTGGTTGCTTATTTTCTGCATTAAACCACGTAAGCTACGAACAGATGCCTGCTTTACAAAGACTGTCATATGATGAGTGGTTTTTGTGAAAGGTGTCTTTTTAAACAGCTTTAACTTTCACTGTTTTGTTTTCAGGTCGCCGAGCACAGCTATGCAGTCCTTGACACGCCAAAAACACTGAAGAGGAAACTGGATGCTTGCACAGATTCAACGGCTACAGTGAAAAGAAAGCTGAAGCTCAGCCTTGAACGAGAACGTCGGTTAAGAAGGAAGGTCAGCTCATTTAATGAAATAATTGATGACCTCAAGCACAACCAGCTCATTTCAGAAGATGCCTCGGCAATGCTTGAAAGGTGCTTCACGGGGATCCCCTTGGAAGTTACGAAACGGTTGCTTAAGCAAACATCCAGTGAAGGCGACAAGTCGTCTTTTAAGTTAAGTCGAGACAAATATTCTCCTGCACTGCGTGCATTTGCACTCACGCTACAGTTTTACTCGACAAAGGCATATAACTATGTCAGAGAAACATTTCAATGTTCCTCGCCACATCCATCGACCATAACTAAATGGTATAGCTCCATTAACGGAGAACCTGGATTCACAAGCGAAGGAATCAACGCCATCCGAGCAAAAGCCAATGAGGCTAAGAAGAACAACAAACAGCTTCTCTGCAACCTTGTTGTTGATGAAATGGCCATTAGAAAGCACCTTGAATGGGACGGCAAAAAACTTTCGAGGCTACGTGGATATTGGCAATGAAGTGGACGATGACAGTAACGCAGTTGCGTCTGAAGCCCTTGTTTTCATGCTCGTATCTCTGGACTCCCACTGGAAGGTACCGTGTGGCTATTTTTTGATCAATGGTCTTTCAGGAAAAGAGCGTGCGAACATTGTGAAGCTCTGTCTGACAAAGTTGCTAGAGACAGGAGTGCACGTGACATCATTGACATGTGATGGTCTCCGTTGTAACTTTACAATTTTCAAAGACCTGGGGGCTTCCGTTGAAGATGCATCAGCGATGTCAACATCATTCCCTCACCCTGTAACACAAGAAAAGGTGTACTGCCTTTTATACGCATGTCACATGGTCAAGTTAGTTAGAAATGCTCTTTGTGCTCTTGGGTGCCTCAGGGACGCATCAGGCGCATCGGTGAGCTGGGACTACATTGTCCAGCTACCAGAACTTTAAGAAAAAGAAGGCCTGCATGCAGCAACAAAACTACGTGCTGCACACATTCAGCGGCAGAAATAGAAGATGAAAGTCAACCTTGCTGTCCAGACTTTAAGCACTAGTGTGGCTGACGCCATAGATTTTTGTCGTGAAGACTTGCAACTCCCACAGTTCAAAAATTCAGAAGGAACCGTGAAATTTATTCGAATGTTCGATAAACTGTTTGATTTCCTCAATTCACGCAACCCAGTGGCCAATGGTTTCAAAGCGCCGCTCCGACCTAGCAACAAGGGAACCTGGATGAACTTCTTCGAAGAAGTCAAGGAGTACATTCGGGGGCTGACTGACGGATCAGGTGTTCCCATTTACAGGACGCCCAGAAGAACTCCATTTCTAGGATTTCTGGTGACCATTGAAAGTGTCATCGGTCTGGCATCCGTGCTCCTCCTCTCGGACAATGCTCCACTCCGTTACTTTTTTTTTTACTTACAAGCTTTCACAAGACCACATTGAACTGCTCTTTGCCGCTGTGCGTTCTAAAGGGGGCTGGAATAACAATCCCACAGTCTCACAATTTGTGGCGGCATACAAGCGACTTGTCACACACAACCAGGTGAAGGGTGGGCGAGGGAACTGTGAGTCTCTTGACAATACGCGCATACTGTACGTGAGCAGCCAGTTTTGCTCCAACGATGAGCGTTTTGGGACGTTAAACCCCACATATCAATCAATCCAACGATGAGCTCGACATGGCCACAGCAAAGCGAAGCGACACACAAGACCTCATGCAAGGCATAGACCTACCCGACGAGTGCGAGCTGGATGTCATAGTTCAGGATCTCCCTGCACTGTCTCCGTACCTTGGAAACCTCGTTGGTTACATCGCAGGGTTTGTTTGCCGAATGGTCAAACGTAAAATACCTTGCGCAGTGTGCTACTCGGCCACCATTGCCGAGACATGTGGTTCGGCACTCCTGAACAGAAAAAACCGTGGAGGTGTTTCCAAGCCATCGTCATCGACAACGTACATCTGTCAGCTGACTGAAAAAGCTGTTCGACTGCAGGAGAAGGTTCACGACGGAGGCCTTCCAAAAAAGAATGCAGCTGACACTGTGACAGCCAAGGTTATGGCAGAACTTTCGGGAGTGCTGAGCACGAACAAGCTCTATCCGGAACTGCATGGCCATATGTTCGAATCAGCAGTTGACTCCAACCACTTTGTGCGTCTTGTTAAATGTGCCATCGGCTGCTACGTGAAGATCAGGATGCACTATGCCGCGAAGCAAGCTACTGCAAAGATAACAGGACCAAACATCCGCAAGCGACTTGCAAAGTTGATTATTTTCAGTCACCAGTGAAGTGACGTGACGTGGCATTTCTTAAGTGCTTCAAGCGACTTGCAGAGTTGATTATTTTCAGTCACCAGTGAAGTGACGTGACGTGTCAGTTCTTAAGTGCTTCAAGCGACTTGCAGAGTTGATTATTTTCAGTCACCAGTGAAGTGACGTGG